GGCTCCATCGAAGGACCTGGGGATGCGTCGCCGCTGATGGCAGAGAGCCCTTCGGGATGACGCGGCTTCTGCCGGCGCGGACATGCTCAGGCGAGCCTCGCTGTGCCGTGCCTCCGTGGGACGCCCGGGGCAGCCTGGGCCCATCACAAACAGGGTCCCTGCGTATGTCCCGGGTGGTGACGCCGCTCACCGTGATCGTTAGCTCATGACTGCGTAGCGGCCGTGCGTCTCCGGACGCGCGTGTTTGAGTATATTTTGAATTTTGCTGTATTTTGCTTTCCCCACACATTCGTCAGAACTGTAATAGCAAAGACATTATCATTTTTCCTGGCTCACAGAGCTCTCGCTATCTTCATCATCCACATTGTGTGTGTACTGCAGTGTGGTTTTCTGGGGGCTGCCCTTGACACTCAGCGCAGAGCGTTGATCCTCACGAGATAAGAATTCCTACCCGATTAGCAAAGTCACTGGGCTGGGGCGCCCACACTCTGAAGTTTTCATTTGATTCAAGTGCACATTTTGGGTCTAAATCTGCAGCATATCCGAGGTTCATCTTTGTGAAACCATAGCTGCGATGACACACTCTTTAAAATTAGTAACTTTGCCTGACTGTAGAAGGCAGCGGTGGATTCAGCCAGCCTTAAATTTGGGTTTATTCATCATTAGAATATTGGGTTTATTCATCATTAGAGTATTTTGTGAGGCCCAGCTTTGCACCGTGACATCTCATCATCTTTCTGTCATGTTTCCCTGTCAGGTGGGTGCTTTCCCTTACGCTGGCTTGTCCTGGGAAGGACGTGTTGCGAAGCGCGTGGGGAGTTTCATGCCCCGAGTTGTGTAAACGAGTGGGACACGTGCTGTGTTTCTGTATGTCACAGCAGTCATCGGCGCGGTGTCTCATCCTGATGGCACTGGCTTGGAACTGCTTGTAAAAGCGTCTTTTGGTCAGGGGTGAATGCGTGTGGTGTGGCTATCAACACTTCTCTCTGGTGTCCTTAGCTGCGGACTTCTGGTTCAGATAATCACTCTGCGACTGGCGAGTCTGATTTGATTCTCAGAAGCATCAGGTAGCTGGAGCGCAAGAATTTGGATTAAAATTCCTTTGCGTCACCGTGAGATTCAATTAATTTTTTTTAATTGATTTAAAAATAAAGCTTTTTAATTAAAAGCAAAAAGGCTAATGTAAAAGTAAAAAGTTTGATGTGTTCACAGAAATTTCGGTGCAGGTTCACTTGCCCACTTCAGAAATGACACCTTGCATGACTTTCAAATATTTTGTGGCCTCTCAGGCTACCATAAGCCCCGTGCTTTGAGTCGTGAACTCCAAGCTTTCATATATTCTGGGGTTTTTTACATATTTGCCTCATGTGTCTTTCTTCTTAGGCTAGATAGTTAGAGCTTTGAAATTCACAGATTTGACATCAAATTCATTCTCTGGTTTACCATCCCCTTCCATTCCTTCAGTTCTTCACCATTTTATATATTTTATCAGCTGAATCTTAACCTTGTCATGTGTGGTCTTGGGGCAGAATGGAAAATGGATCTGTGACTCTTCTTCAAGCCTTTGTCCTATTGTAAAATGGCATAAACCCAACAATATTCATAAGAAAAAGTACTGATCTAATCATAATCTGTGCTGAAAAAAACCTGTTTCTCCTGTTGAACAATTTTCCTCTTTCTGATCCAGCAGGGGTTTTGCCTGTTGAATAAATCTGCAGATCATGACTCATGAAATTAGAGACAGGCTTCACTCCGTGCATTAGTGCCCCATTTGAAATCAGTTTGTGCCACTCACAAGGGTAACATTAATGTTTTTTGTAAGTAAAGTTTTTTGCAAGATTATAAGGCCTTGGTATTTGTGTTGATATTGTTTAGATAAGTGAAATTATATGTCAGTTAACCCTGAATAAAGGGCAAATAAAGGCAAAGGAGGATTTTAAATTAGAAGAAGCCAAAGCATTGCTATTCAGCATTAAATGTACTTTTATGGAAAACTGTTTTCTAGATTTTATTTTCTGCTTAAACTGCCTGTATATTAAATTAGTAGCTGCAGAGTGCTGTAGAATAACCATGTTTTGGACAGCAAGTTCTCCATTCTTTTCCCACACTTGTGCAGAAGGTTACTGAGGAAAAATGCCAAGCCTGTGAACTGAAAGTCACCACGTAAGCATAAACCTAATCATATATGTGTAAATATACATATGTGTGTAGTTATATATGTGTGTGTATATATATGTGTGCATATAGATATATACATATTTATATACGTAAATATACATATGTGAGGGAGCTGGGCTTGTTTAGCCTGAAGAAGAGAAGGCTGAGAGGGGGCCTTATAAATGCCTACAAATATCTTCAGGGTGGGTGTCAGGAGGATGGGGCCAAGCTCTTTTCAGTGGTGCCCAGCAACAGGACAAGGGGCAATGGGCACAAACTGAAGCACAGGAAGTTCCGTCTGAACATGAGGAAGAACTTCTTCCCTCTGGGGGTGACAGAGCACTGGAACAGGCTGCCCAGGGAGGTTGTGGAGTCTCCTTCTCTGGAGATATTCAAGACCCGCCTGGACAAGGTCCTGTGCAGC